TTTTTCCAAAGATTATATCCTGATCTCACCAAGAGATCTAATCCATACCATAACCTTACTCCTCTAAGTTCTATTAGCTTTCCAAACCACACACATATAGCATATTCCATAATTACATACAAACTTTTCCATAACCATGCCAAATCATTCAATATAATAACATAAATAATTAAACACCTAAAACAACCATTAACTTAAACACATGACAATCTTCATATAAACAAAATAGCATATTAAAAATTATACTACCTCTATCATGCTCATACATACTAGATTAAGTCTTATAAGTACTACCCTTACTTGGATAAACAGGAATCGAAACTAGGGCAGAACCTCCTCCTCTCTTTCTTAAACAGGAACCGAAACTAGGGTATCTGGATTTCTCTTCCTCTCTCTCCTCTTTTCTTTCCTCTCCTCTCTCTTTCTTTCTCTCTCTCTCCTTTTTCTCTCTCTAAGGTCTCCTCTTCTCCAATCCTCAATTTCCCAACCCCCAGCCCCCTATTTATAGAATTCTGCCTACCTAACCCGGAACGGCCCGTTCCGAAAGCGAAACGCCCGTTCTAGGCCCAAAAAAATCTACGTAAGTTTTAAAACTGGAACGGCCCGTTCTGAAACCATAACGGCCCGTTCCGGGACTCATCCAGAACGGCCCGTGCTCCTCCCGGAACGGCCCGTACTCCTTCCAGAACGGCCCGTTCCAAAACCAGAATGACCCGTTCTCCTTTTGGAACGGCCCATTCTCGACCCGTTCTCAATTTTAATCCTAGTTCATTTTTGGCGCTTGGAACGACCCGTTCCGCTTTTGGAACAGCCCGTTCCAAATTACCAAAACACCCTATACCTTTATAAAAATTTACGAAAATGTCATTAATAAATAATAATAATAAAAAATGGCTATTACAGAATTTGGCATTCATTGAGGTGAGAGAGGAGTGAGAATCTCACTTTAGAGTGCAGGTTACCTATAGGGTAGTGGAATTGGCCTCCAATTTTGTTTGTATGTGTGTACGATGCATGATGGGATAAACCCAATTTTGATTGGGATCTTAGATCATGGTATCTATGAATTCTCTCATATTTTGATTGTGATGTTATATTATAATTATATTTATGATCTGTGACATTGTCTATAATTGTGAATCTATGAGTGCTTGGGTTCTTAGGAGAAACCTAAGGATTAATACAAAATAAATTATTAGAGAAACAAATGTGAATAGGAAACTTATAGAGAAATAAAATAACTATGTTGTAGATCCCCCTTGTATCACTTATTTTGTAGAGTCATATTTGTAAGTTGTATCATTTGTAATTCGTACATTATGCAAGAAAAACCCTTATTGATATCGCATCAAGTGCCACATAGGTTCGTCAGACGTGAAGCGATAAAAGGCTTTTTATAATGATCACGTTGACGTACATGAGCATGGTCACACTAGGCATAGGAGCTCTAGAGGCTCCCTATTGTGAAATTCTCTAGGCGTAGACAGAGTGCTTTCAACCTCAACCACGTTTCAATTTAATAATTATTTAATTTCTTTAAATAATTAAATTCATTTTTTAATTACTCATTCAAAAGTCAACTTACTTATTGAAGAGTTCAACATAACGTATATTCCCACAATGAGATATTAAACTTCGAAAACTCTTCTAGTTTCTATGTATCTGAATATAAACATGTATCCACATGTCTAACAACTTATCATCGTATATCGTTACAGTTAAGACATCATTCAACTTATGTTTTAACCATACAATAACATAACATCATATCAACTTACATCTTTAAAACTTAATCATCTTTTAACATACATAACAACTTTACAACTTTAACAATTATTAATATTCATCTTACAACATATACATCATCAACGTACAACCACCTTTCACCTTAACATAATTATCATCATACGTCATTTGTCATACAATTCATATATTGTTATTCAACTATAAGGCAACTTAAAATATCATACAACATGTATCAATATACAACTTACATCTTAACATCATCAATTCATCTATCAACTTTCAACATACATATACATCAAGATTTCACAATCAAAACAATATGCAATCATACATCAAGGATTCAAGTCCTTTAAAATCCTAATCCAATACACCCCCCTTAGTTAACAGAACAAAACTGTGTACAGACTACACAGACTTCCGCATACAAAACGCCACCAAGTTCATATAGAATCTGTTTCTTTACATCGTACCATGCATAATATGAACTAACCATAAAGTCCTATTTCTTCACTCCACCGTCAAATATGACCAAGTGAGTGAGTAATAACCACATGCAACCATTTGGTGCTAACACATGACATGAAGCTTAAAAAACTTTGACAGGTGCAAAACATAACAGCCAAACAAACCCCTGACACCAACATTTACTTTACAAGCTACCCAAGATTCTGGTTGTCACTGTTTTGAATTACCGCGATGCCAAGGACCAGAAGTTCAGGAGAAAAGATGGCACTGTGGTGAACCAACAAATGAAGGCCATGCCTGTAGCCGTTTCAAACTGCACACAGTGGTTCTGTGCACAACTTCCGAGATCATTATCAATCAGGACTGTGATGCCTGCTGATGCACAGGCCGCTGCAAATGTAAGGGTGGAAGTCACCTGCATGGAATACACAGCTCTTCTGAAATTAACACTGCAGCATTTTCAGAGGGGGAAAAAAATAACACAAGTTAAAGTTACATATTATAGTGAAACTTTTGAAACAGTTATGAACAAGTAAGTAATGAAGAGAAAACAGTGGAATAAGCTTTCCACTGAAGTTATGGGATGTTAAAAACACATCCAAGTGATTGGTCAGTATAATTTCACAAAACCTTAGGATGTTCAGTATAATTTACTCTGATAAATATTTGAAAAGTAGTGTTGAACATGAGATGGCAGTTAAAGTGAAGAGAGTTCAAAAAATTAACCAGAAAGTGACAAGTATTTTAGCGTTGCAAAATTGTGAAAAGATTATTGAGTCTAGATCTTACCCCATCACCAATTGTAAACAAGCTGACAATTCGATAGTTCTGCAAAGAACGCCTTACTAAAAGGGCATACACATCAGTAATAGCCAATGAAAAGCTCCACAAACACTGCAAGCCGGCAGCAGCAACAAGGTAACTGATAAAAGATGAGACAAAGATTATACGTAATGTCGTGGCATTCATGCCATTTCATAAACAAAAGGGAAATTTGAAAAGAATAAAGCCAAAAAAGTATAAATGCAATAATAACATGTTCCAACTAGATAGTGCAGGCAAGTTAGCATGGGCGACTATACACGTAAGAACTAAGCTATTATATATGCAATGACAAACCAAGGTACAAGTGCCAAAAACAGGTCTAAGATCAGAACTATCCAACACCAAACCCATTTTTGTGTTTTCCCCACTTAAAAACTACATTAAATTTAAAGATCAAAATAAGAGTTTTAAAAGTAGAAGTTACTCACCAATTTTCAGTTTTTTAGTCTATATAAGATATGCCCAAAACAGAAGTGACAAAATGTGCTTGACTCAATTTCTCCTTTTAAGGAGAAGAGAAATCCAAACAAAGCAAGGTCAAACACTATCTAAAGTCGCATTGGATTAAGTAATATCCTTCCAACCATACAGCCACAACATATGCCTATGGGCATGGCATTGTATTAGAATCGTGACAGTCTTAGAAATCAGAGAGAAAGAAAGTAAGAGAGAGAGCAGAATTAACAGAGAAGAGTGAATTGTATTTTCAGTAATTAATCAGTAATACAATTGTCCTATTTATATGTTTCAATAGCTTCAAGGGAAGCTATTGAAACATTGACCTGTTGAACAGGTAATTAAGCTAAAACAGAAAAATACAGAAACTAACTGACTGAAATAATAACTCTATACATTAACATATCTAATACAATTTTAAGGAGTAAAGATATACTCCAATACATTGAGTCATTATCCAAGTCTTTCCATTCCTTCGTATGTCTATACACAACAAATACTATTCCAACAATTAGTGTTTTATAGAAAATTATTAATGTGATATGATATACAGGAAAGATAAATCCTTTATTTTTCCCAAAAACAAATCCACACTAATGATTTCCTTCCAGATAAGAAAGTTATAATGTGTCCTCTCAGCAGCTAAGTAGATGTTAAGAAAATGTTGAAACTCCTCGAGGTATAAAAGAATAATTGACAACAGAAGTGGTGTCTGTAATCAGTTAACCAAACCATCTTAATTAAAAATCATAAATTTTCAAACTCTTGATGAATTCAAGAATCTTAGAATATTTTAAAGTCAAGCAGAGTCGACTCTATCATACGCATAAGATGAACTAAACATGTCAGTAAGTTGTTGTATGTTACAATGGCTCCATTTAAGCACCAAATAGTAATATGAATGGCATCACTTTGTTGAGAAATAGTTCCCTAAATGACCCTTTATTATGTAGAAAAATTTGATGCACATAGAACGTTATAAAAATACAGCTCTACCAGACTCTCACCCGCATCTTACAATCCATTTTGGGACCAAATAGTAATGCAAATGGCATCATTTTATTACGAAATCTAAATCATCCTTCATTTATAGTAATTGTCTCTAATTTCAAAGGCTATTTTTTTTAATAATTTTCCCATGTTTTCCCCTTGATGTCGCCTTCATTGAACATGTTGTGTCTTTCCCATCATGACCCTTCGTTGTGACGGTAAAAAATTCAACGTTCGTAGCACATTTTATACATCCTGCTCTATAAGACTCACTCTGCTAAGAATGAAAGATATGATGAGTGACTTACCAATGGATTAAGTCTCATACAACAACACACTCAGACCCCAAACAACAATTTCAAATTCATAACCATCTATCAGAAGCACATGCAAAATTTAGGGATGCACAATATTACATTACCAATCCAGATCCACATGCCACTTAAGTCCATACTCATGCAGTGGATGTCCCAAAGAAAATTTATCCGAATTATTCACAATTTATATATTTTGAATCTTCAAGCATCCAATAGGGAAAGAATCAGAAT